AATTTATTGGCTATTTTGCCAATATGGGCTATTTTGCCAATATTGGCTATTTATTGAGTATTTTGCCAATATTGGCCATTTTGCCAATATTGGCTATTTTGCCAATAGAAACTTGTTGCACAAATATTTTGTGAACTTTATAATATTTATTTCTATTTATTATCTCTTTCTCTACTTTTGCTTAATTTTATTAGATTATTAACTATTTTTCTACTTTTAAAAGTTATTGTTTTATATTATACTAATAATAAAGTATATATATATATATATATATATATATATATATATATATATATATATATATATATATATATATATATATATATATATATATATATATATATATATATATATATATATATATATATATATATATATACTTTATTATTAGTATAATTCCGCTGTCAATTAAGTCCACGAAAAAAAACTGGTCAAAGCCAGTACAATGCCTATCACTAGTCTATATAAACCTGGAGGATTCTCAAGCACAGGACCCAGTAAAACTAGACTACATAATGTTTGCATAAATTTTTAGCTGTAAAAGCACGCATTGCAACTTTAGAAAAAAAAGTCTAGACCTTAGAAGCAGAAAGCGAAATCTTATAAAAATGTCTTAGCGAACTAAAAAAACTTAAGCCGGTATCATTCTCATCACTCTTCAACAGCAAGTCTAGTGAACGTAAATCGGAAATTTGTTTGGAAAGATCAAAATTTGTTTCTAAATAAGTAGGAAATAATCAGAAGCAAACACAGCAAAAAGAGTCATGTGTTAGTGGTGGGATTAGAGGTCTCAGACAAATATGACAAAAATAAACAAGCAGCCGAAAATTTCTTTAGAGCTGTTGGTAATGACACCTCTATTTTTTTTATGAATCAGTGGTTTTAATCATAAAAAAGTCAACATAGAATTCCGAAAAACCAATATTAGGCAGGTCACAGTCATAAAAACCCTGAATCGAACGCCCTGGTCTTATCGAAAGCCAGGCATCACACCTGAATAAAAAAAATGCGTTTCCTAGAGAATACCGAATGGAGGCAGAACAACAGGAATTAAACAAACTAAACAGCGAAAAAAAAAAAGCGAAATGATAAACTCGCAAAATTAAAGCTGCTCGACTTCCCATTTTTTTTTGTCATCCATTGACGCGTTAACTGCTTTAAGCCAATTAACGCACAAGAGTGAGCTGCTCCCCAAAGATAAGTCTCTGTCAACATCAAGAACGTTGCAGACGCTATAGTTAATGCCTCAAAATCAAAAATCACAACAAATATAATTGACAAAAATTCACCCCCATTTCAGCTAGAATAAACTCTCAATCAGCCTCATCATTCCCAGTCTGTACAATCAAAACTCAATGTTAAAAAAAAAGCCCAACTCGACCACTACCATCAATTAGCCGTCATAATTACTGTCATAACTCAGCCCAAACTATTGAAAACTTGTTCAGCAAAGGTTTTCAATTAGTCCATGCTTACTAAATTAAGCAAATAATTGCATGCTTACGAAACATGCTTACGAAATTAAACGAGACTTGACTAGCTGAAAGCCAGAATACAACCAACCCCAAGAATAACCACCCACATCTTATTTTTCTTGCTGAGACGTAGTTTACTGAGGCTTTAGATACTGCTATTGCAGGGTATAGCACTTTATTGGAGGTGGTGTAGCTATCTGCGTAAAAAACGATCTTAAATGCACGCTAACAAATATTGAACAGCTTAACAAAAGTACCATTAAACAGCTACGGACAAAGCTCAAGCTCGAAAAAGGATTACTCATTATAGGGTGTATTTACCGACCACCAAATAAAGATGAGCTAACACTCCTAAAATTACCAAATTAATTCAGACTGCTTAAGAGGCCCTCAAAAAAATTGGTTGCAACTCTATTGTGACGTTAATTTTAGGCACATTAGCTATGAAAGTATTAAAGTTAGAAGAAGTGTTATGACCCAGAGGCGAATTTTGATCACCCCCCAAGGAGGGGGCTGAAAACGTCTTTTAAAAAAAAAAAAAGATCCGCTTATTTTTATTTATAAGTAACTTTATTTTTTATTTTTTTGTACTTTAGTGTAATAATCAAATTCTTATACGTATAACTACGTATAATAATCAATTTCATTCGTCAGTATAATAGTCAAATTCTGTATAATAGTCAATTTACAAAAATTAAATTAAAAAAAAAAGTCCTAAGGAGGAGGGGAGCTACTACCCCCCATAGTTTCCCTAAAAGCCACAATTATTTTGACAGCAGTCAACATACTGATAAACAACTTACCAGTCATTCAGTTCAAGTCTTGTTTAGAGGACATATTTTAACTTTTAGAGGACATATCTTAACTAACTTTTGCATTTGCTATGATTCTGTCATAGTATAAAATTACACTAAACAGGTAATTCTCCAGTAGGCGGACTAAAATAAATTATTTTTTTTGTTTATTGCGCTCTCTTCAGTAAAGATTTTTTAAGATTGCTGCCCCTGCCAACCCTCCAGTCAACATTGTGACTTTACCTTGCAACAGAAGGCTAAAAGATATTCAATGTATGTACTGAATGGCAGTGTTGAAAAGTAGTGACATAAAACATGAAAAAACAGAAATAAATTAAATTTGGAAGATCTAGAATGCATCTAACGTTTTTAAAGGACTTCACTATTTTTTTAGAAATACCCAAGTATGATGTGTTTCAAAAAAAGATTTATATTTTATTAGCATTGATGACAATGTTAGAAAATGCATAACATTTTATACACAGTGTATGGATCCTTCCATGACAAATTTTGAGTGAAAAGTTTTTTCTTATCGGCCATATATGTGATGACTTTCTTAAATTCTACAGAGTATTAGATTTTAAGGAACTCTACTAAGATTTAATTGCAGCTTAAGCCGAATTCATCGTTAGCATTTTTTATAGGGATTGAATTTGGTGTCCTTCCGTGACATTGAATGTGTGTTCTTGCGTGACAATTGGATTACTTTTGAAATAAATTTATTTTGTACTTGTGTAACTATATTTTATGATAGGATTTTTTGTTCATTATATTATTACTTATATGTATGAAAGGCAATTAATGTTTTTCCATATTACCGTTGGATAAACTCAAATAAGATTGTTTGCAAAAATCAAGAAAAATCTGCTGGTGAAGAAGCTGCAATGCTTTTATCAGAAATAGTTGATGGCAGCAATATGAGAATGCATAAGTATAATATTTACCGTCAGTTTTTAGAGTTAAAATGACTGAAGACAAATCTCAAAGAAGATGAAGTAATAATCACTGTCGATTTTCCCAAGAATTACGAAAATATACAACTCCGTGAGATCCAGAGTGCTTACTTTGGGCATGAACATTTTTCCATGTTTACATCAGCTTGTTACTTCCATAAAAGAATCACAGTTCCGAATGGTAAACTTGATAAAAATTTTAATTTGGTGAAGTTTCCAGTAGCAATCATATCAAATGAAACGAAATATGATCGCAATGTTGCATTTACCAACAACAACCGGCTTATAAGCATCATCAAGGGTATAGCTCCATCAGTTTCCACTTTCCATTTCTGGAGTGAAGGATGTGCTGGTCAGTTCGGATCTCAATTTGTCTTTCGGTCCTTCTCTTAGTACCCTGAAAATATTACATTGACTTGGAGTTATGGTGAGGCACTCCACTTTAAAGGACCCCATGATGGAGTTAGTGGAACTATTAAAAACCAAGTTTACGGGAAAGTTTTGTCATCTAAAGTTGTAATTGAAAATGCTAAACAGTTTTTTGAAGTAGCTGATCGGTTGTGTGACATTACAGTAATTTTCTTAGACACGAAAGATATTGAGTCACCAAATTTAAATGATAGCATTTATACTCAAGCAATTTTAAAGGTTCACCATGTTAGAAGATTAAGTAAAAAATCAGTTAACTTATATTTAAACAGCAGCTTTAAAAAATCATTAGATATTTTTAAATCGTTGGCATCGGAAAAAAATAATAGAGAAGCTGAAAGAGAAATTCAAAATTATTGACAACGATGACAAAATCTATGAAGTCTATGAAAATTTTGTTTTTATTTGCTTAAAAAAGAATTATATGATAACCTCATTAATATGTACTTTTTATCCTACCGTGACATGTCCTTCCATGACATTAAATGACTTTAATTGATTTGGAAAAAAAAAAATTAATATTTGTCAAGAACACTTTTGTAAGTTTAAGTTAAAGGTCTTATACCTTTTTAAAGGAACTTTTTTTTTGGCTTTATCTCTATTAATTTTGATAGAATTTAAACCCAAAATAGAAAGTTAATTTTACGGCTTTTGTATCGTTCCTTCCATGACACAAGTTTTGAAGGCCTGTTTCAGAAACTTTAGAACTCTGCAAATATCTTTAATCCCAATTACTACTGCTATATTGGTAGTTTCTAAAATATCATCAAAACCCTCTACGCGCTTTTATTTTTTATTTAGTTTACAATTTAGTGTATCAATTTGCTTCCGGGAAAAACACATTACTTTTCAACCCTGCCCTGAAGCCAATAAATGTTTCTTTATTTTTAAAAAGTCACCAAGGACAAAATAATAAGACACAGCAAGTAAACAAAAAAAATAAGTTAAGGCTGATTAACTCAAGGATTACCCATGTGTGTGTGTCTAGAAATTGTAGCTTATTTAAGAAGATTTAAATAATCTGCGTTTCTAATGTGGCATCTGAATAAGTAATTTATTGAAAGATTTATTGATTTTGTAGCTCACAATCGCTAGAGTTGGTCATAAGTTTTCACAATTAATATCTTGCTTAATAAAATCTCAGTAATTTTGTGTGGCTTGATTGCATATTAAAAAAATTTTTATAACCTAAATGTTAATAAAGATGAAAGTTGCTCTAAAAGTTGCTTAGCGATTTTCTTATCAGTTCTTCAATAATTAATTTAGAATAGTTTGAAGCCAACTTATAAAAGCTATGGTTTTAATACAAATTTTGTTTAGCTTAAGTTTTTAATCTGTTTATTTTTTAGATGTTTATTTTTATAATCCAAATTGCGTAAGTCCAACATGTAAAAAACACAAGTCAACAGGTTCATTAGGTTCTACCGACAGTATTGAAAGTGCAGAGTCCGCAAATGAAGTTGTTGATTGTAAGTATGATTTTTTTTTCTACTTTAATACTTTAGATATTTTGTAGTCGTTTTTTTTTTGAAGTAAAAAATAACTAATGAGAGTTAAAAAAAAGTCAATGGTATATAACAATTTACCATAGAGAGTTAAAAAAAAAACAATTTAAAATAGTTACACCAGAAACGTGAAGAAAAAAAATACTCACATTAAATAAAACATTATTTTGATACAATTAGCAAGCAAGTAATAAAAAAGATTAAAACAATTCTCAATATAAAAGCAAAGTTTTATTTATATCAATTTTTTTTTAGTTATGAACTTTGACATTTACACCTTAAAATCTCTGTATGCAAAAATGCAGGAAAGAACACTACTATGTTTTGCATAAGGTTATTAGATTATGATAGTATAACGGTAATAACATTAGTAATAAAGTTAAGAATAATTGCCATTCAAAACTGTTCATGATAAGTGTATGTTTCTATTCCTGTTATATATTCTTTATACACGCTAATAATATTTTTAGTGAATAAATTAGTAATAATAGCTATACTTTAATTAGGTTTTTAATAACTAATTTCATAAGCTTTGTTATGAAGTTACTTTTAAAATCAGTTATAGAAGCAAACATTTGGGATAATAAGCTAAGTATATTCTAGCATTTAGGAAAAATTACAAAACCACTCAAATAACGATGGTTACGCAAACTTTCTCAGTGTTCAATGTTTTTATAGTAATGAAAATAAAATAAATTTCATAAAAAAGCTCTTTGTATTTTCCATAAAAAGTTTAACTTATCTCTTAATAAACTGTTAAGTTTTGATAATATTCCGAAGATTCACATAAGAAATTTGCGCTTTCTTATGATAGAAGTTTTTAAATCAATTAATAGTTTAAATCCAAAACTTATAAATAATTTATTCAATACAAAAAAACTTCCTTTTAAACATCGTTGTTGCAAAAAAATGATTTTACCTTCAAATGGCTCAAAAAATAAAAATAAATGTTGTACTATATTTAGAGGCATCTTATTATGGAACACTTTAGATAATTAGACCATGTCCTCTAAACGTTCTGAGGAGTTCAAAAAACATATCAAAAATTTATTTTAGTGTTATATAAAAACGTAATTATCTAATATATGTAAATTTAACATCATATATTATTAAAAAAAGTTTATATTAAAATTAAACGTTATTGTTATATTAAAATAAAACGTTATATTAAATAATTTATATTAAATAATTTTTTTACATTTACATAATTTTAAACTTACATAAATTACATTATTACATATTTATATAAATTTTAATAAATTTACGATACGACAGTTGCATTCCGAGCCAACGATATGTAGACATTTTTTTTTTACTATTTTCACGTCAGTGTGTAATTTCTCTAATTGTTAAATGTGATGATTTTAATTAGTTTTATTCTTGTTAAAACTATTGTAACCATCAACAAAAAATAAAGTTTTTAAATTCAAATAAATTAAAAGGAATGCTAAGTCGGAGTCTGGAGTCCCGAACTTTCCTAATTATGCCTGTAAATCAGGTTATTGGTAATCATGGAAAGTTTTGGATCTCCAGGACTCTGATATATAATTTTTTGTCGCGGATTTAAAACAACAGAGTTTGCATCTTCTATTCAAAATTAAGCTGCTTCTTTAAAAGTTTCCATTAAGTATGTTTGTGCTACCCCTTAAAACCACGCTACCCCTTAAAACCAACCTGTGCTACCCCTTAAAACCAACCCTTAAAACCTTAAAAGCATCTATTTATCTTTTAAAATAAGTTTAAAATAATATTTGATTATTATATCCCAGATAGCTAGTTTACATTAGCCTAAAATTGGGCCAATGCAATGGCCCAAAGTTGAAATTCGATGTTGGCCCAATGCAGGTATGATCATTGTTTAGCTTAACGTTGTATTCAAAATTGGCCCAATTTTGCATACAACGTTAAAAAACATAGACCAAAATCTAACACAATTAGTTTTAAATAAATTAATTTCTTACAAAAATATGGTATTTGTTTCAATATTGGCTGAGCTACTTGTTGTTGAATTGTGTTTAGCCAATGATATTTAGTGCCCCAGACTAATATCTTTTCTTTCACCATCTCTATCACATCTTTGCCTAAGCCATGCTTATTTGACTTAGTAGCTTCTGCAAAAAAGTAGTTGCTTGTTTAAATATGCACCAAAGAAACATAACAGATTTAAAGTATTTGTGTAATGCAAGATTGAACTGAAAGAATACCTTTTTTAAACCATTAACTAATAGCAACATATGTAATCAACATTTTTCCTATTCCAATTTTTTGTCCTCTCTAGGCATAGTTTATTTTTTAACCTTGGCTATTTTTAAAGCGATTCTTAGTAAATAACATATGAAATCTCGTTTGTCTATAACTCCAACTTGTTCCAAATAACTAACCTGCGAAAATGTACAACCTGACAATAGTTAAAGTTACTTTTGGTTAGACTTAAATAAATATAAAATCGCAGTTACAAAAAACCTTCAAAGAGTATTTTTTTGATGAACATTTTTGTTTAAAGACATCATACAAAATGCATAAACGAATAATAAAAAAATATTTACCTAACGCTTATGTAATTTCTTGTCTTTCAATTTTTTATGAGTAATTAATTTTTTTTACTGCTTTAGTGACAATGAAACACTCTCAGGCAAATCATTAATTGGGCTTTCTTCATTACTCTTTCAAAGTATGCTTAAATTAAAATTTGATGCGTTTGGGGATTCGCCAAGTTGCCAATCGTGCAAAAAACATTTACATTTCTTAAGGGGACACAAAAAATATTCTAAAAAAACTATACAACAAGTTACATGTAACAATTAATTTTTATGAAAATAAATGCAACATTCACTAATAAAAGAAATAAAATTAAAGGCAAAAGGCCAAATTATAGAAATGATAAAATTATATACTTGCTAATGGATATATTCATAAATCAATTAAAAACTAATAAACCAAGAATAATTTCCCTCTGCCTCAGAAAAATAGATTAGACATATGGTTGTTTTAATTTAAATCGATTGAATAAAAACCATAATTTAATTTGAGTTTTTTGATATTAATTGCTTTTAACAATTATTTGTTGATATAATCTCATAATCACTCACATATTATAGGCTAAGATTAGGCATATAATAAAAATGTTTGGCAATATTAGAAAGCTCAACATAAATAGAATTTAGATTCTATTAACATAACTTTTTGTACTCTGTGTTAATATGTTAGTAAATAGGGTTTCACAATCAAACATAGAAAAATTAAAATAAAAAAAACATATTTAAAATGTTTTTCATTATTAAACATCAGCTTCTAACAACTACAATACCACTGTAGTAGTCATATATAAAGTTTCACGTTATTACGACTTATAATTATAAATATGTCTTATAATTATAAATAATAATATCTAGTGACACTTGTGATGTAAAAGTTATGATTTAATGTGAGTTTTAAGATTGTGAATATAAAAAATAAGTTATATCTAAAGACACTTGTGATGTACAATTTGCTGCTATGATTAATAATACCTGGATTATTATATTAAGTTTATGAAAATGGTGTAACTTTTATATAAAGTTAATAATTTGTTTATTAATACCTTTAATTAATATATACATACATTTTATAAACTTTATATAATAATTTGTAGGTATTATTATTTGATTACCTTTATGAACTAAAATTTAAAAAAATTTATTGAATTTGATTGCTGTAGAAGTATCATGAAATGTTTGTAACATGTCAATGTACAAAAAATCAGTAACTTGTGTTTCTTGATTATTTATTTATATACGTTATTTATTTACAAAATAATGATAAATAACATTTGAATTTGGAATAATAAATATTTGCATAGTTATTAGACAAATTAATTCATAAACAACAAAATCATGCCATCAGATTATTATCAAACGCACACAGCCTCTCACATTCTAAAACATTGTTCAACAATCTAGAAATATTAAATTTGTACCAATTAAATATATATGAACTGCTAATTTTTATGTATAAAACTAACAATAATACAATACCAAATATTTTGAAACCATTTTTTGATAAAATTCAACACAAATACATGACTAAATATTCAAATAACAACTTTGTTCAACTCAAAGCTATATATGAGTCCATCATGTTCTCAATAATTATTAGAGGACCGAATGTATCGAATAAGTTAATTAATAATGATATTAAAACACTTACATCTCTTGAACAAGTTTAAACAATAGCTAAAACTATGCTTTTGAATAACCATCAAATAGAGAATTATTTTAAAATTGATCTTTTAAAATATTATATTTAAAAATTATCTTCTATTCTAATACATAGTTTATTTGTCTGGAAAGGTCTATATATATATATATATATATATATATATATATATATATATATATATATATATATATATATATATATATATATATATATATATATATATATATATATATATATATATATATATATATATATATATATATATATATATGTATATATAGTATCTTTTGATTGTAAATTATCTTTTATGTTTTTTCTTTGTTGTTTTTTGTTTTCTTAAATGAATTATTAAATTTTCTTTTAATGAATAACTTTGAAATTTGAATATAAATATCATTGCATTACCGTAACTTAACCTTCATGTTATTGAGAACTTTTATTAAAAATAACTACGAAAGACTCTATTACACTATCCCAGCTAGCACACTTACATTGGGCCAACGTATGTAAAACCATCGCAAACGTCGGCTCTTTTTTTCCAATGCAAAATCAACGTTGATCCAATGTCATTTGGTTAATGATAGAATTATTACCGGAACTAAAAACATCTGGCAAATTTACATTGGTCCAAAGTATGTAAAAGCATCACAAAAAGTTGACTGTTTTTACGATTTAAACTGAATCTTGATTATATGTATTGTATATATATTTAAAAAAATAGAACTTAATGAAAATTTAATTCCAAATAACATTGCATACAACGTTTT